CCAATACTATCTTTTTTCTTTTAACCAACTGATAAGTCATCGGTTTAAATAATATCCAGATTGTTAAGGTGATGAATGAAAATATTATTTTAGAAATATATTATTACACTACTACTACAGTGTTATCAGAATAGGAACGACTGAAAGCTAAGAGTAATTTTTTTTTCATTCATTCTGTTTAATAAGTAATTTTCATCAAACATGAGTTATTTGTATGTAACACATTCATCCACTTTTCAGGGTCGTGGGGAGCACTGTAGCCTATCCCAGCTGTATTAGGGGGAGAGGCAGGGTACACCCTGGACAGGTCGCCAGTCTGTTGCAGGGCGAACACATAGACAGAGACAACCAATCGCACTCACATTCACTCCCGTATTCACACCTATGGGCAATTTAGTGTTTCCAATTAAACTAACCCCACCTGCATGTCTTTGGGAGAAAGCCGAAGTACCGCGGAGAACCCACTCAAACACCACACAGAAAGACCCCGGCCTGATGGTGGAATTGAACTCAGTTGAACTCCTCTATATTAAATCACCTGTGAAAATATAATTGAATGCGATGTCAAGTCACTGCATATGTTTAATCTAAAAATCAAATTTGAGGCAAATTATTTAAAAACAAATAATAAGAGTTAGATACCATAACTCTCCAAATAGATTTTGTGTAATATGTGTTTAGCGGTGAACTCTTTATCAGTTCACCCTGCCTAGAAAGAGTTGTCAGTTGCTCCTAAATCTCATTTGACTAAACATTTGTATTCGTAATATACTTAGAGCAAATGAGTTCTTTATTTTAAGGTCAGACCACTAATGATTATCCAAAAGGGACCCATAAAAGTTCTGCATTACAGAGCTTCTCTATACGCTCGGTCCTCGACACATGGTTTGTATTATAAGGTCTGTTGGCACATAAAGGTTATGTAAAAACTGTAAAGGGTAAATATAGATACTTGGTATAGGGGTGATTTGCCACTGCAGTCATGTGAAAAGAGTTTGCTTTAAGATATATGCAGTACTCACTGGTCTTCAATGATAAGGTGGTGTACAACATATTCACAAGGAAAATTAACAATTCAATCAATTATTCAACACATAATACATGCAATAATACGTTAAGAAGGGATTGGACCGTTAATTTACTAAAACATACTTAAGATCATCAGTTTACGCTCAAAGATGTTTTTACTTTGAGAGTTGAGATTTGTGTCAAATAAGGACATATCACTGGTAAACAGGAGATGGCAACCAACCTGATATTGACATATAAAGACCTGTGGAGGAGTTCAAAGTTCAAACAAAAAGAATTTAATGGGAAAAATCATTAGTGTGAAACATTAATGTGTAATAAAATGAATGGTCATCTACTGGCTAGTTGCTACATGTAACTAAGTAAATGCAACAGTTTATCTCCTATAAATCCAGCTTTTATCCTTTGTGTATTTTCCCAGTCCAAGACGAAATACTCCAAGAAACCCAAACAAATTCCCACTTACAGTCAAAAGCATGTATATAAACCTCACATTAACACATGCTTAAGTTACTCTGAAGCACCAAGTTGAACACTGAATAAACAATATAATACTGTTTGAAGGCAAACATCAGTGATATAAAAACTCTCCTTTTCATATAAGACATCATAAAAACTATGCCTCATATCTAATAAATAAACTTCACTTTTGCTGTAGTGTGGAGTTATTCAGGTGACACTGCACTTTCTGTACACATAGTTTCAAAAATGAAAACCATATTACACACAAACACCATTCAGTCTCTGTTTTTGATAGTCAAATTAGTGGTACATGACAGCCTTTTTACTTTGCATGTCTATCTGCAGTAACCTCTACAGGTCATCTACTGCTGTCACGTTAAAAAATACTTCAGTCTTCTGTTGACCATTTCCTTGTGAGCAGCAGTAGGGATACCTGGTGCACCTTCATCATTTTGGGGCTCTAATGGGTCCTTCTACCATCCTGTACACCAGGTTAGTAAAAATTTAAGTATTTATGATTTTCCTCAATGTGACCATTTAAAAATAATTTGGCTGAAAATAGTGTTTTTAAGAAACTTGGAATTTCTTAAATATGTATTTGAAATTTGATCCTGAATTGTGGATGGCTATGGCTCAAGAGGTATTAGAATTTTGGAAGTATGAACCCTGGCAGTCAGTATAAGACGGGCACCTCAATTTCAACTTATTTTATATTTCTTTTGTGTAATACATCAGGATTTTTATATGTTAGAGTAATTTTATTAGAGCTAGCTTTTAATATATTGTATTTTTTAATGTTGGTAATTTTCACTACTGTCCTTGCTGTCTTGGAGCAATTGTGACCACAAAGTTTCCTCTGGGATAAGTTAAGTATTCTGATTCTGATATCGCCATTTTAAGCTCTGCAAAGGCAGATTTTTTTTGCTGGTGTTGCATGGAAGTGCAACATTTTAATTATAGTATTTATACTTAATAAATGCTATTGTTTGCCAAATACTTTTTAAAAATATCATTTATTTTTCCAAAAACAGGATGTGGACCTTTTTATTTCTTTACATCTTGGGCATAAATTTCTGCCAGGTTTGTTGATTACATCAATTAAACATTTTGATCTTAAATATCAACTGTATCATGAAATTAAAAAAAAATGGAAACACTTTTCTTTCACAGGCTGATACCTCAACCCAAATGCTTTATGCCAAACTGATAATAGACAAAAGTGCAATTGCAAATATCACGAGCATACTGAAGAATTTTACGTATAAAAATACATTTGTTGAAGCACCTGTAATGACAACAGGTAAACTAATTTCCAATCTTCCACATACACCTTGCTGTGATTTCTGAAGAAAATACTTTTATAACCTCCAACTCTAACCCTGCATAACTCTTGTCCTTATAAGTGTGCACAAATGGTACAGGCGAGAAGTTATGTCACTGCAAACCAGACCACAGATGGAGCGATACTTTCTGTCAGTCTAATCCAAAATGTTGTGGCAATGCAACATGCACTTTGGATAAAAGTGCAGATGCAAAATGTGTCTATATATATATGTGTATATATGTGTATGTGTGTATATATATATATGTGTATATATATATATGTGTATGTATGTATATATATATATATATATATATATATATATATATATATATATATATTATCATATATATATATATATATATATATATATATGTATATATATGTATATATATATATATATATATATATATGTGTGTGTGTATATATATATATATATATATATATATGTGTGTATATGTGTGTATATATATATATTATGTGTATAATATAGTATATATATATAAATATATATATATATATAAATATATATATATATACAAACATATACATACATACATACATACATAGACACATATACATACACACATATACATACATACTGACATTTTCTTGCTCACAGTTACCATTACAGGATCTTTGAAAATTGCACAGGCAAACAAATATGAAAAGTGTCTGAAAGGCACAGAAACCACGGACTATATAAACTGCAGAAATGACTTGATGAAACAGGTAATAAACAGTCATTTAAAAAATATATAATGTCTTTATCACCGCAATAATAAATAAAGAATACTATTATTAACTCTTTTTTTCCATCCTTTGTTACCTCTTAGATGAAAACAGCGTACAGCACTCTGAGGGGATTTGACTTTTTAAACATTATAGGATTCAGGTATATTCGTGCAATCACAAATTAAATGTTTTATTAAATTTATTTTAGATATGTGACTAAAATCTGTCTTTGTTTTTTATTGAAGGCTCGGAAGCCTCTTCATAGATTTTACAATGAGCGTCGCTTCCACTGTCAATTCACAAACTCTGATTAACATTTCAGAAGCCATCAGCCGAAATCTGTCAGCCTCGCTTGATATGGAGACTGCAGGTAATGTAAACTACCTGTGGAGGGCGCAGTTAATTCCAACCTGGACGGAAGTTGTTTTTTTTTTTTCTTAAATTTTATATAAATTCTGTTAGATTGTGTTTTAAATATCATTTTAGCGCTCCTTGAGTATCACTCTCCACCAACATATCAGACTGAAATATCTCGACAGCTACTGGAGGGACTACCATGAAATTTTATGCATATTATAAATACGTTTTTCACTGTGTAAATTGTTATTAACGCTCTTATTTAAAGGAACAGTTCAGCTAAATAACCTTTCAATCGTTGACAAATTGCTGCCCACTAAAATCCCAATTTTATTTCTTTGTTTCTATTATAAAATGATAACCTGAGGTCAACAATGCTTTGGATGCAGTCATATTACTCTGATAAAGATCAAGAAAATATGAGTGAGAGACAAAAATCTCTCTGAACCTCATGCATCTTGTTTTAGTTTATAATAATGTGCTCTAAAGGTGGTGTTGTAAAGGCTCTTTTAGCACATTCACTTCACCGGATGCACCTTTTTTATTTTCTTCACCTTTGATTGGGTGTGGCGCTTTCCATTAATTGCACTCACTTGTCACCCGTTATATAAGGACTGCACTCACCTACAGCTCACTCTTTCTTCACTCCCACATGGAGCGGCAGCTGAGAGATAGCAGTCCATGTGTGTCTTTCCTTTGCTCATTATTCAATAAAACAAAAAACCTGCAAGTGAGTACTGACTGTTCAGTCTCATCCTGGCCGGATGAGCCCGTGATGGTAACTATCTCCAACCTCCTCTGGACCTTCCTCTAAAACAGATGGTTTATCTGCAGCTGCAGTGCTATTCAACCTATGGTGTTCATGGAACTGTAAAGGTTTTCAAGTTTCAATGACTGGCCGCAAGGTGGCAGTATTTCCATATGCCATACCATCTAGATGTATGTGGTTTCCATGGCAACTGATTATCATTTGTTTGTTCTCTGTAGGTGTTGTCCGCTTAATAATGCCAGACAACATGCCGGTCTCTTATGGGGACACTAACAAAATCATCACTTGCAAAGCAACGGAGGACCTTGGAACTACACCACAGTGGAGTATAACAAACATCAATGGGCAATATGACATAACTAATGGAACAGTTTCAACTGTCACAACATTATCAAAAACAGAGAGTCAAATCCAGCTTAATGAAGTGACAGAACTCTGGAAAGGTATGTTTGTTTGTATGTATGTGAGACTTTTATATAATTAGTGTAAACCCAGAAAAAAACTAAATAAATTGTAAAATACATTTAAGCTATTAAAAATAAAGAAATAAGATTTTCTTTACTCTCGACTGTATACAAATTAAAACTTGTATATGCAATTTGATATTTCTTTCTTTCTTTTTTTTCTTTATGTCAGAATGTTAAATAAATATTTCATTCACTTTTTTTCTGGGAATGTTTCAGGCTTTAAATGGTTAACTAGTTTGGCACTATGAGCTGAAAAACTCAGTATCACTATCTGGATTAAATCTAATTCCTACTTGTACCAGCTTTAACCACGTTTTTTTTTTTCTAGGAACATACTTGTGTCTCTACAAACAAACCAAAAAGTTTGGCAATGACAGTACAATCAACATATTACACAAAGGCAGTAATGTACTGGATGTAGCTCTATTGCCAGACATTGCTGTTTTCACTGTGCCATCATTTCCACGCTGCAAAACTAAAACTGATGTTCTCCAAGTAGCAGCCCAGTGTGAGATAAATAATAGCACTGAACCTTATATTGTCTCATGGAATGGTGACGGCCTCAAAGATTATTCAGCAACTTCAGGTATGGATATTTCCTTTTCTTTTCTTTTCTTTTCTTATTTGCCAAATAATTTTATTTCAAAATAGTTATTTTGCAAGAACTGTTATGAAAATCTATGACATGAATGTATCATTCTTGCAGCTGACAAAACACAAATTTATTCGGCTCAAAAAATTATCAACTGTGGTGTAAACAACAACAATCAAACTACAGCATCATGTATATTTAAAAACAGAAAAGGGCAAATTAAAAGTGCTTCGGTGCCCTTCAACATCATTGGCGGTAAGTTATTGCATTTTGTAATAAGAATTAAACACATAGCTTAAAAATCTTACAACAAAGTTCTTGTCTTTGGCAGAAATAAATGAATTTTTTTAAATCTGATTTCGTTTTATTCAAAAAGTGCCACTTCACTAAAGTTGTCTGAAGTTGCTGATATTTTAAGATAAACCAACTAAAATATTTATAAATAATTACTTACCTTAATAAGGACAGTCAAAAGATTTGCCATTTTAAATGCCCAAAAATGTATTCATAATTAATTACAATTAAATTAAAAGAAATAGAAATAAAAAGAAGTGATATTTGTAGCCGTATGGCTCAGTGTTTTGAGTTTTTTGGTATTTTGATATTCATTGTTTATGTTTGGCTGTCATTTATTTGTCCAAAGCTCATTTTAGGTTGCCATGTTAGTTATTTTGTTGATTAAGTTCCCCTTGTGTTTTAACCCCTGTGTTAAGTGTCACTTGTCGCCCTTCAGGTGCTTACTTATGTCCTTGCCTCATCTCCAGTATCCCTTTTCCCTCTGTATGTTTCTAAAGTGTTCATTCTTCACGTCAGTCCACCATGTCCACGTCGTTGTCTGTCTTGTGTTTCATGTTGTTTAGCTCATGTCATGTCTGCGTCTTATTATGTTTCCTGTTTTACTTTGAAGGGTACTTTTGTTCATTGTTTTAGTTTTACTTCCACTGTGGCGTCATTATGTTCATTCTAGTCAGCTGTTCCCTCATATTTTTCTACTCCTGATCACCCGTTGAGTGTATTTAGTCCGTGTGTTTCCGTTTAGTCATCGTCAGGGCCCTATTTCAGGAAGCCGGTTTAGTGCAAACTCTGAGTAAGTATACCCTGAGTTAACGAAAACTCTGGGTTTTCGGTTTCACAAAGCGAGTTTAGATTAATTCTGAGTGAGTTACTATGACGACACACTCCGTGAAGCTAACCTGCCCCCTAGCAGGTTTACTTCAACTAACCCTGACCTTCTCCGCCTCTTTGTCAGAAACCTGACTGTAGGAAGTGTCAGACATGGCGTGCCCCTTCCTTGAAGAGCCAGTAGATGTTGAAGCCCAAATTCTCCGCAGAGCTCTCCGCCGGGAGAGAGTGATTAGAGCGCGTTTGGACATTTTATCATTTCCTGATGATTTCCTGTGTGAACGTTACCGTTTTTCAGCACAATCTATAATTTATTTGAATAACATCCTCAGGCCTAATATTGCTCATGTGACACATCGCGGACATGCTCTCAGTTCTGTACATATTATTTGTATTGCACTTCGGTTTTTTGCAAACGGGAGCTTTCTGTATAATATTGGTGACGCTGAGCACGTTTCCAAGGCTACCGTCTGTCGGGCAGTCAGGAATGTTACAGTTGCACTGAAACGTCTCCTGTACTCGTTTGTGGTGTTCCCCGGTCACAGACCCACAAGATTTATCAAAGAGGGATTCCACAAAATTGCAGGTAGCAGGATGAACAAAACTTAATTCATGATGTGGTGATACTTGAACTACTACTTAAATTTTACATTTATTCTCACGGTTCCCAGGCGTGATTGGCTGTATAGATGGCACTCACATTCCAATCATTGCTCCTTCAGTAAATGAAGGAGACTATGTGAACAGGAAGTCTTTCCACAGCATTAATGTACAGGTACATAGTTCCCTGTAGCATTTCAAACTAACAAATTATTTCATTATAGTAATGGATGCTAATTTGTGTTCTCTGCACTGTGAAGATCATATGTGATGCTGCCAACATTATCACAAATGTGGAAGCCAACTGCTCAGCCTCTGTGAGTGGTGGTGGTGGAGGACCCCCACCTGTTTTTCGGGCCTCCGCTTTTTTTCTGTTGGCTATAACGGGTCACATTTGAGCATACAGAGTAAGCAAATATGTACTTGTAATGTGCTCAGATAATTTCAATAAGTGCTTACAGAAAGAAAATTAATGTAGCCTCTAACTGCAATTGATTTACATCGGACAAACAGACCAAGCACTATGGCTCATAATACAATTACACCTCACCTGTTTGGACTATATTTTTATATT